CTTTCCTTCTCAATCACCCAGTGAAGGTCATCTGCAGCCAAAGTTCGCCCTTTATATGTCTTTCGAGAGATGCTCCTTATTTCAGCAACATTAACTCCAACATCAACGTTCAGAAAAGGATTCTCATCAACCCCCATGGCTTCTTTGGGTTTTTCAGGGAAACGAAGCAGCCCTTTGTCAATCTTGTCTTGCAACACATTCCGAAAAATAACACAGTCATTAGTAGAGTGTTTCCAGAAGTTATGAAACTTACAGTAATCTTTGGATGCAATTTCAGCAACCGTCGGAAGCCTATAGCTTAATATGTCCTGACTTTTTCAGATAATCAAAGATTTCATTTGCTTTAGTCACATCAAATGTGTATTGTCTCCCAGATTCATACGGGAGACGCTTTGCAGCCGCCTCAACCTGTTGAGTGACTTTCACTAGATTAGGACAAGTTACTGGCTTGTCTGCAAAGACCTCGGCAACATCAAGGTCAAAAGCATCCTGATAATAAGTTCCTTGCGATGTTGCCTTTCTTTGGGATTCCTCTCTTAAAAGGTTTTCATAACGTGCCACCTTATAAGAGAGCTCAAAGAAGTCTCTGAATTCCATCCCCTCAAACTTCTTTCGAAGTTCAATGTCTAAACCATTCTGAGCAAGCTTCACAAACTCTTGCTCTGGTAAGGCAACATGACACTTCATCCGAGCTTTTCTAAACCGCATAAGATAATTTTCAGAAGATTCCCCTGGCCGTTGAGTCAATCTAGAAAGATCATCCATGGATATCTCAGGCTCTAAGCGGTAAAATTGAATATGAAACAAATCTTCCATTTGTCTCCAAGTAAACACAGAATTTTGCGGCAGACTTAAATACCATGTCAGTGCGGTACCAGTTAAAGAACTTGGGAAGAGTCTCAACTTCAAAAAATCATCACCCGATGCCTCCCCACATGGAATAGTGAACCTACCAATGTGTTCAATGGTTGACTGGCTTGCGTCCCTAGAAAACAAAGTAAATTCAAGCACTTTGAATCCACGAGGAAATGGATTATCCCGATCTATGTAATCTAGATACGGCTTATGATAGGAAGGACAAACCAATGGTCTTAAAGCTGGACCATATGTCTCTTGGACTAGATCAATCAGTTGATTTCTATCCAAGGGAGGGGGTGCTGCTTGCAGCCCTAATGGTTGAAAGGCATTATTCTAGAAGTTGGGCTATGGGGCTGCATTTGGACGACGTGCAGGAGGTACATATCTTTGTTGATTGGCTTTAAGTTGCTCAGCTGCACAGAATGCTGCTTCCACATGATCTTGTAGTCCAAGGATGCCACCAACAGGATTGTTTTGCTGTTGCCTATTGAACTGCACCTGGCCAGCACCAAGAGCATTATTTTGAGCATTGGGCATTTGCTGCACCACCTGTGGCTGATTAATATGCCCCCGGGCAAAGGATCTGGAAGATTTTTCTGTGGTAATTCCATTGCTGGAGGTATGGGTTGCCTTGGAACATTTTGTTGCTGTCGAACATGTTCCATGGTTCTCTCAAAAACTGCAGTGAAGGTTCTGCGACTTTCTGCTACTTCTTCTCGAATAGCTCGAGAATTGTCATGAATGGCCCTTTCAATAACATTCAAAGATTGAGTGAAATGATCTGAATGTTGTTGTTGGGCTTGTAGAAAGCTTTGTAGACTGTGCTCCATGTTCTGATTGGCTTCTTCTTGTAGCTTCCTTATCTGCTGAAGTTCTTGAGATATTTTATTGCTTGACTCAGCAAAATCAACTTTCTCCTCATCATCATTGCGATATATGGGATTGCCATATGAGCAATCAGCCAAGGGAGAAATAGGTGGAAGATGCTTCGGACTATTTTCACCTTCAAAATGTCTTGGACTCACAGGAGCCACTTCCACTTGTTGTGCAACTTCTTTTCCAACCTTCCTAGGCATGGCTATGGCTGCTTTATGCCTAAGAAAAGCAAAAAGAGGATCAAAAAACTTTTCTTGATAGACAATCGCCAGTAGGAGGTCCCACCAGGCGTGCCAAAAAGAGATTGTTATCCCAAAAAATCTCCTTGACACGTGGCAGATGAAATGGCGTGCCACTTGCTTTGCTCAAAACAAGAAAGATTTCTTTGACGACCCTCTCTTCTTTCCAAGCGTGGAACTCAACTTGTGAGTTGATGGAAGAACGTTGTGAATTGCACCTTAAAGATCAGACGATTGACAGAAATGAGTGATGAACTTCCTACACTAAATGGGTTATACGACAAAATGCCCTGAATATGATTCCAAGGACTCCTAAAAGCTAATGTAATCAAGAAAAGTTAAGACTGCAAGGTAAATAAATGATCGCTAAACTACTGAAAATCTAAATAAACTTTAAATACGCAAACTGAATTGAAACAGAGCTTTAAAAGGAAATTTAATTGCAGCAAAAGTAAATAAAGTTAAAGTAAATAAAACCCGAAGCATGAAAAATCTACTGGCAGTATGAAATGTAAATTAACAGAAATGGAACTAAACATGAAATTAAATGTTGACATCATTTGATTAAATTAAAGGAAATCTGGAAAACAAATAAAAGGAAAGGAAGCAATCCGATTACAAAAAAATATTACTGAAGGCAGTGAGACTCACCATTACAAATTCGACAAAAGAAAAACCGAATTGCTAAACTAATCTAGGTTGTAGCGTAGAGCTAAAACTAAACTAAAGGGCTTGAAACTAAGATGAATCTGAGCATAAAGAGAAATTGTGCTGAGTTTGTTGTGTGAGATGTCGATCCTTTGCTTGATCTTATCATTAGGTATTTATAGCACCTTGGCAGCATGGTGAAGATCTGCAGCAGGATCCTGAAAAACCAACGGCAGCGTAATATCTGCAACAAATTGATTAATTTGTTGGTGCTGCGATTATCTTCCTGAAAGCTCGCAACAAAAAAACGGTTTTGCTGCTGTGGAAATAACCACTCAATCTCATCTGAAGAAATTCACACAAACTAATAAAATATCTGCCATCATAGGTGACACATGACAACACTCCATTTGTTGTAAAATTAGGTGTAAATAATAGATATACCTAACAGGCCTAATAAATAAATCCGTTAAATAAATCAAATAAACAATTTTGAACTCAAATATTTGCAAATAAGAGTATACTCATGCTCAATTCTCACTCCTAGTCCCAGCAAACCGAAAAAAAGTGTAAAGTGGAATGAATTTTTGCTCCAATCCCTAAAATGTACAACAGCCTAAGACCCAAGCAGCAGGGATAATTTCCCATGTCATGCTCAATACTTCAATTTTCATGATTAACAATGGAGAATAGAAGAGTTAAACTCAAACAAAAACAGTAGCTGCTACCGGTTCAAAATCTGCCACAAATAATATTCCAAGAGGAACTCCGAGCTTCAACAGTGGTGAATGGTTATGGCTGCTATCCAGTTCTGGCGACAGGCCAGAGAAAATAAGATATAAGGGAGGCATTAAAGAAATTATCATAACCAATATCATCTAAATCAAGTAAATGAATAAATTTGAAGAATAAAAAGCACATAGTATAATGGAACTAGATATATTTTATAAGATAAAGCATGACCTAATGGCCACTGCAGATACTTAGTTCAACATAGTTATAAAGCAAAGTCACTTAACAGTGCCAGACAGACAACCACGTTATTGAATATAGTAAACATAGTTAAGGACACCAATAACACCCTTTAGAAATCACCACCACGGAGACGAAGCACAAGGTGGAGGGTAGACTCCTTCTGGATGTTATAATCCGCAAGAGTCCTCCCATCCTCCAACTGCTTCCCTGCAAAGATCAACCTCTGCTGATCTGGTGGGATACCCTCCTTATCCTGAATCTTTGCCTTGACATTGTCAATGGTATCAGAACTCTCCACCTCTAGGGTTATCGTCTTGCCAGTCAGGGTCTTGACAAAAATCTGCATGCCTCCACGGAGCCTGAGGACAAGGTGGAGGGTGGATTCCTTCTGGATGTTATAATCAGCAAGGGTGCGTCCATCCTCAAGCTGTTTGCCGGCAAAGATGAGCCTTTGCTGGTCCGGTGGGATTCCTTCCTTGTCTTGGATCTTGGCCTTGACGTTGTCAATGGTATCCGAGCTCTCAACCTCAAGGGTAATTGTTTTCCCAGTCAATGTCTTGACAAAAATCTGCATGCCTCCACGGAGCCTTAGCACAAGGTGAAGAGTGGATTCCTTCTGGATGTTGTAATCCGCCAGTGTGCGTCCATCCTCAAGCTGTTTGCCGGCAAAGATAAGTCTTTGCTGGTCTGGTGGGATTCCCTCCTTGTCCTGGATCTTAGCCTTGACATTGTCAATAGTGTCAGAGCTCTCTACCTCAAGAGTGATGGTCTTTCCAGTGAGGGTTTTGACAAAGATCTGCATGCCACCACGGAGACGGAGGACCAGGTGGAGGGTAGACTCCTTCTGGATGTTATAATCAGCAAGGGTACGGCCATCTTCAAGCTGCTTCCCAGCAAAGATCAGACGCTGCTGATCAGGAGGGATACCTTCCTTGTCTTGGATCTTGGCCTTAACATTGTCGATGGTATCAGAACTCTCAACCTCGAGAGTGATGGTCTTACCAGTCAGGGTTTTCACAAAGATCTGCATCTGTTTTCAACCAGAATAACAAGTCATCAACAACAGGCACATATGATTAATTACAAATCTTCCACTGAAGAACAATTTTCACTTTACCCAACCAGAAATACTAACCAAGATGGTCTAACAGATTTAAACAATTATCAAGCAAGCACTCTAAATTCCAACCAGATTTACAAACCACTAACGGATTAATGAAAATGTCTTTTTAACAGATTAAAATCACCATATTAAAAAAAAAAATGAATTTCAGCCAGAATAACAAACAATTAACAACAGAAATTCAGAACTAATTTAAATTCAAAGTAACAATAAATCTTTGATCATAAAAAAAAAAAAAGAACAAAAATCAACCTATTCACCTAACCCCAACGAGAAATCAAGAAAAATCCATCTACTTCGGACAGATCTAACCAATATCAAACAAGCCATCTAATTTCAGCCAGGATAACAGATCACAAATAACAGGAATCAAATCGATAATCAATTCCAAAGGTACCTAACATAACAATCATCAATCAACAAGAAAAAAAGAAGCAAAATTCTAACGCGATTAAACAAACCCTAACAAGAAATCAAGGAAAGAATATCTACCATAATAGATCAGAAAGAGGACTACAAGAAAAACAAAAAACCGAATCAGATTGTATGGAGGATCCGTACCTTGAAGACGGAGAGATGGGAAACTGCAACTTCAACGGGAGAAGGAAATCAGCCGAACAATGAGAAAACGAACCTGTGGGCGCTTGAATTTATAGATGCGTTAGCGGACTTAAAAGTTAAAACCCCCGAAAATATCTGCAATTTGCGGTGATGATCACGAAAATCGGGCCGCTAGCGTCGCGTCACTGTTCAAAAGAGATTTGGTCACCTCGTGAGCGGGTCCCACGCGGAGAAAACTTTAATTTAGAAAAGGCAAAACCATAAGTTAAGCCCCTGAACTAACCCCAGAATTTCTATTAAGCCCTTATACTTTAATTGATGCAGTTAAACCCTTGAACTCTGGGATCAAAGCAATTAAGCCCTTCTTCTTACGCTATTAAGCCCCTAGACTTTAATTTTTAAAATAAATTGCTTAAGAAGAAGGGCTTAATTGCTTTGATCCCAGAGTTTAAGGGCTTAACTGTATCAATTAAAGTCTAGAGGCTTAATAGCAATTCTAGGGTTAGTTCAGAGGCTTAACCTACGGTTTTGCCTTTAGAAAAAGATTTTTAGCGCAGAGAATATATATATATTTTTTGAACGGATTTTATAAGGGGTTAGGTTCGAACCCAGTTCTGGAGAGGAGGGAATGTATCATGAGTGGCTATTGTTATTCGGTCCGAAGGGTTCGGTGCTTTAGTGCAGAGAATATAAATCTTAAAAAGTTAAAAATTAATATTTTATTTATTAATTTTTTAATTAAATATATTTACATGATAATAATTTTAAAAATAATATTTATTTTTAATTTTTTTTTACAATTTATTATAAAAAGATAATATGCATAGAAATGCAAGTTAGCAGAACCTCTTAGAAAAATACATTTTGAAATCAAAAAGTCCAAAATGCCCATCATAAATATTGTTATGACGTTTCCCCCTATTTTAATTTATATATAGAGGAAGTAATATCTACCTAGCTTAATTCTTAAATATTAAAAAAAATTATCTTAAAATTAGATTATTTTAATATTTTATAAAAAAATTAAAATTTTTTTTTTAAGTATAAAGTAAAGTATTTTTAATTTTTTATAATATTTTATTAAAATAATATAATTTTAAAATATTTTTTTAATCATTAAAAATAAAACAAATAAACACTAACTCCACATATTTATATATTTATATGTTTATATTTTTTTTAATGAGACAATTACATTACACCTACTTATTAAGGGGTAGAGATTAATATTAGTGGTTAGAGTTAAAGATAGAATCAAAATGTTATATCACTAAACCTTTATGATTGAATTATTGAATCCGATTGGCCTCTCCTCTCTAATTTTAATAACATAATTTTTCTTTTCGAGCCAATGAAAATTGGGGCAATTGGAAAAAAAGAAAAAAAAGGGAATGCAAAGGAGTTGAATTTCAAAGGTATGAATAGAACACCCACATGGTGAGCAGACAACTCACAGGTTGGTTGAGTTGAATTTTAATATCATGGTTGATGGGAGTTAATTAGAGACTTATATAAGAGTTCAATTTAATTGTTAGTGATTTAATTTAATTTAATAAATAAAAATATTTAAAATGATAGTAATTATTATTAAATTAAATAAAATTACTAACTTTTAATTTTAAATTACTATATCAAACCATTTCTAAAATTTACACTATATCTCTTTTTTTTTTTAACAAGTTTATAAGAGATCAAATTTAAATTATTATCATAAAAATAAAAAAATATACTTATACATGACCTAACGTTACTGAATCTAGTGTCACAAGTGCTATATCTCAGTTATTTCTCGCTACTGTGATTGTATATCCTAATTTAATGTTTACTTGCCTCCAGTTCTATATTCATTTCTTTTAATTTTTCAGTCAAATTATGTTTTTAAGCCACCAAAGATTTACTTCGGTAAGATTCTCTGAATTTGTGTGGGTGACAGTGAAACTTTTTTTTTGAAAATAGGCAAAAAGAGGGTGATAGACCGATAGTGATACTTAAATGACATCCTACGCAACCGTGTGGATCGCAGTTCTCTTGCGTGTTCACTACTTCACTTCACGTTCGCATTATAAACATCTTTTTGGTTAAGGAAAAGGCAACTTGTACATATTATTTTAATTTTTTAAAACAATTTTAAGAATATATTTTATACATTAATTTGATGTAAAATTAATTTTTTAAGTGTTAATGTTTTCTCAAAAATCCTTAACCGACCCTTACCACGTGAGTTTGGTTATTAGGCGTGTCACTTGCTTTGTTTAAAAATAAAAAAATAAGATTTTCAAGACGACCCTTCTCTTTTCAAGATGACCCTTCTTCTTTTCAATGGTCGACTTCCAATAAGATGGTTAGAAAAAACGTCTGTGAAATGAATTGCGCCTCAGACGATGTTGCAAAATAGAGGGTAGAGTTTTGCAAAATGGATTACTAATTGCCTTGGAAACCTCCAAAGATTTCACAACCAAACAAGTGTAATAAAAGTTACAAATCCTAAAATAAATGCAATATCCTAAGGCAGTTAAACTAATATGAAGTAAATAACAGAAAATAACATGCCATAAAAATTAAATTCGCAGACAACAGAAAAAGTAAAATAACAGACAATGATTTTCACTACACAGCTTATAATGATAACTAAAACTAAAGAAAAAACTATGAAATGATTAAAGTCTGAAAACTTATAAATTTAAATCTGGAAATTGAAATTAAACAAACTGCATGTCTGTATATTGTGCAGAAACAAAAGAACAAAGGTAGAAAACATTCATCTTATTTACATGAACGAATAACATAACTAAATCTATAAAAGGAAGAAGAATTAACTGAATCAAAAGGGCAGACCTGTTTTGAAGGCTAAGTTGCTTCCAAATGTTTAAAAACTAATCTAAATTGGAATTTGCAGAAAAAAATATGAACAAAGATGAACAAACCTAGGCTAAGGCTATGAACTAATTTGGAACATATTGCTGAAATTTGAAAAATACAGTCTGAAAGTTGAAAAACATGCTCTGGGCAGTGTCTGTGTGTTGGGCCGGCCTCTTGAACTGTTCTCTTCTCTTTGTTTTTATTCTCTTCGGTGCTGGGAACTTTCCCCATGATCTTCGATACTATTCTTCCATGATCTGGTAGTGAGTTTGGGCTTTTTATTAGAGAAAAAAATTTAAAAGTTATTTTTAAAAATAATAAAAAGTGAATAAACAAAATTTATAAAAAGTAAAAATTTAAAAATTTTTAAAATTTACTACTTAATGATTTTTAAGATTAAAAAAATTAAAAAATATAATTTTTTTAAAAAAAAATTAATTTATAAAATATGAACAATATCAAAAAATTGAAATAGTTACAAATTTCACCAAACATGCTTTTCACCAATTACTAAAGCTAACGGAGAAGAAATCCCCTTATGAATGTTGATTTACCATGTCCTGCTGAGAAATTTCCTTCGTTATCCTGTTGAGCTGCGAGTTTTATTTGTTAAGTTTTCCGCTGTGATCAATATATTGCCTTCTCCGTGAAAACTATGAAATTATAGGAAAATTCTTTTTTTTTTTTTTCATACTGGGGTTTGATTGTTCTGAACAAAAGGGAATTTTGCTCTGTGTGTTTGGGTGATATTGGTGCCTAGACCTTACTCCTTAGTATAACATGTCTTGCCTTAGACCTTTGTCCTTAGTATAACAAGTCTTGCCTTAGACCTTACTCCTCGGTATAACATGTCTTGCGTACCGGTTTGCCCAATTACACAAGTAATGCATGTTCTCAATATTTACTTTACAGAGTAGTTCTTCCGGTTTCAGGCCTTTTGCATTTTGATTTTAGTTATGCTTGGGCATGCATGTTGTAACTCTAATTTTGGTATGCTTGAAAGTCTGAATGGGGGAGCTGCAATGTCTCGTCTTTTCTTTTCCCTTTTGTTTTTTTTCAGTCATTGGCTTAATGCCTTGAAAGTGAGACGTGGATGAGGTTCATATGCAACTGAGCCATGAGCTTTTTCTCTACTCAGGATTCACCTTGCAATTTTGCACGTACCTATGAAGGCAGCCCAATTTGGTTTCAAATCTAATTTGGGCCTGATCACCTTTTATTTTTAATATAAAAAGAATGGTAAAAAATCAAAGCATCTTGACAATTTAAAATATAAAGAATAATAATAAAAAATTTTAAATATTTTTAATGAATTAACACGAAAGATTTCTTAAGAGTGTTTGAATAAATTTCAAGGGTAATCTTAATTTTCATTTTTATCTAAAAAGAATTTGACTGCTCTTTTGACAAAGCCAATCACCAAGGTTGGTCTGTGTCTGACCAATCCAAACACACCTAATGGTCTTGGAATTGAACAGGCCAATCTTGGGCTTAATGGCCATATATAGTCCATGCTATTGCTATCCTAGGGCCGTCGGCTTTTGTCAAAGTGGCATCTAAAAAAAGAAAAAGAAGCGTAGGGAAAATAGATTGATGAGATTTAGTTAACTAAGAAATTAGAAGCCAATTTCCAAATGGGATAAAATGCAGAATTTGGAGTACGATTTCACTATATTTATCTATTTATTTATTTTGTGTGAAATTTTCAATTATAAATTAGTTGGCACAACAATCAACACAAAGTACCAAAAACAAAATAAATAATGGTTAAATGCTAATTTTGGTCCCTTAATTTTAAAGTTTTGTATAATTTTCATTCCTTAATTTTTTATGCACTTTTTTGGTCCATTGACTATGAAAAATACACATTTTTAATCATTCTGTTAGTTAGTTTATTAAGTTTGTCTAAATATGCACATTTATAATCCCTCAACTTTAAGTTGAGGGATTAAAAATGTAAATATATTAAAAATTGAGGGACTAAAATGTGCAAATTTAAATAGGCTTAACAGACTAATTGAGTAAATGTGCAAATAAGGATTCCAACTTTACACTTTTTTCTATTTAAGGATGTTAATTTTGTTATTTTCTAAATGAGAATGTCAACTTTCAATTTTTTTCTATTTAAAAATATCAACTTTCAACTTTTTCTATTTAAGAATGTCAACTTTTAACTTTTTTTATTTAAAGATTAATTGGTTGTGATGCTGACG